TGAAATGGATCGAAGCGTATCCTTGTCGCACGCGGCAAGCCACGAAAATCGCACGATATGTCAACCGTTTCCTCGGGATGCATCAGGATACGGAAGAAATCTTGACCGACAACGGGGCTGAATTCAGGGGGGAAGTGTTAAGGAATCTGGTCCTACATGGCGTCGCCATACGGAACACTGCACCCCACATGTCACAATCCAATGGGCTGGTCGAAAACGCTAACCGGGTGATAAAGACAGCGTTGCGACAAAACATCGCGGCACGGGATCCGAGACCCTGGCCCGATATCGTCGATCACATCCTGGCGGTCCATCGCGGAACGCCCCACGAATCGACGGGTTTAGCCCCTTCCAATTAAGGACCAATAGTGTCACTTGTGTTTCGATACCAAGCCTCCCGGATGAGTCTACATTGAACCGACGGCCCAACAGGGCTACGGCTCGAGACAAAGCCAAACGACACCTAGAGTTAATGGAACGGTCGTTGCCCAGGCTAGCCCGAAAGCGACAAAAAATGACCGAACTAGCCCAGGGCCGACAGGTCCGAAGCTACGAGGCCCGAAATGGGAATGTGGGTCCGCGGCCCCAGTACAAATTGCGGGACGTGGTGCAGGTGAGGAAATGTGCTCACCAGGGTAAGCTTGCGCCACGATTCTTCCGGCGATATCTCGTGATCGAGCTCGGCCCCAACGACGTGGACACCGTGCGTCTCGCCCCTGAAGTCTCCGGCAGTTGGTCGGCTCGTCCGATCACACGCCACGTGTCCTATCTTCGCCTCCTCCCCTCTGCTCCGTCTCCCTCTCCCTCGATCTCTCTTTCTGAGGAAGCCGACGACGACGGCTCGGACTCTCCGCCATCTCCCTCCCTTTCTTGCTCCCTCTCTACCACCCCGTCACCCCCGCCATCGCCATGAGTTTCGCCATCGAGCGAGCTTTCAGTGATCAGTTGCTGATGCCACGGGGAGAGATCTCAGCCATCCGCCAAGTGCATCATCCGCGGATCAGCACCGACATCATGCGCCTTGTGCAGTTCTTCTGCACTGCGGGTGTATACGGCGCGACAGAGTTCCGATTCACGAGCAATCCCCAAGTAGTGGTGCTGGCCGAGGCAACGGCGTTCCAACGGCGAGTGGCCCCGGGAATCAGCCACGTGTCTACCGTGGTAGTCTTCAGCGGCGACATCACCGCCTTCGATCCGGCGCGGCAAGCCGCCATCAAAAGCACCTTGTACCGGTGGGGTCGCGATCTGGCCACTGATTGGGATCGACGGCTCACAAGGCACGGTGACGAGTGCTATCCTGTCGACGGCATCAAAGTCAACACGCTGCGCACGACGCTACGCGAGCCACCAGTCGTCCTCCCCGAACTTGATCCCTTCCAGCCGCGCAAATGAGCCGCGCGCCGATCTCGACGTTCTCTCCTCCCTCTCTCTTCCCCATCTTCTGGCAGTCCTCTCACTACCCTCGTCTCTCCTTCCGTCTGGAGCCACTGATAGTACCCATCGTTGATCCGGACCGTTGGAGGCTGTGGCATGCAGAATTTGTTGAGCTCTCGTTTTGCCTGCTACGAGTGGATCTGAATTGGACGTGGGAAGGCGATCAGAGGCCCGCGTCGGAGATTGTGGAGTTGCTCATCATTCAGGTGTGGAGGACCAACGTGGCGGGAGATCTTCTGGGATTTGTCTTTGGAACAGTGGATCGGGGAAACGGATCACAGATCGTGCGCGAACTTACGATTTTGATCGCGCGATTGGCCGACGAACTCCCTCTCGACATCGTCTCTCAGAGCGACGAAGAACCCGTGCCACATACCCTCTCAAGGACTCTCGCCCCGAGCCTCCAGTGGTCGGCTAGTATCGAGGAGCGCTGGGCGGACCGCCGTTTTCCCTCCCGTAGCGAGTACCTGGACGTCCACAGCCTGACCAATCCCCGCTTCTTTCGGCAACCAACGGCGTTCGAGTGGGCGGCGTTGAGAGCAGAAGAGGAGGCTGAAGAGGAATCGGAAGGAGAATTGAGGAGAGAGGGCGGGGAAGCAGCGGCCCGATTGGCCGAGGACGAGGAAGAAGAGCATGAAGAAGAATACGAGTCGGCGGAAGCTGAAGAAGAAGAACAAGAACAAGAAGCAGAGGAGGAGACTTTGGAGGAAGAGGAAGAGGCCTATAGTGAGTACAGTGAGGGCGAGCAAAGTGAGGAGGAGGACGAAGACGACGAAGAAGTGGAAAGCGGGGACGACCAGGAGCCAACGCACGACGAGCTCGAGTGGGTGCCAGGACCGGATCGGCGAGAGGAGAACCCGGAGGCTGCTGCGCAGCGCAAGAAAGAGATCGCAGAAGGAAAGTGGCTGGCGATCGATCCCGCACCGAACGATCCTTTCAAGGATCCCAAGCCGCCCAAGCCGGAACATGGAGACCTTGCTGCCACTCGCGCGCGCGATTAATAAATGTTGACGTCGTTTCTTTTGGTTCGGTTTTCGATCTTTTGGGCGCGGACATCGCGCGGTAAATTGCTTCGTTCTTTTTTTTTTAATTCCTCTTGAATCTTTTTCGAATTTTGTCGAGCCCCCAATGACTCTCGGAATTTCGGACTTTCCTTCGGGAATTCGTGTTTTTTGCTTTTTCATATTAGATAGGAATTTAAGAATTCAGTAATTAGGATTTTTCCTGTCGCGCGGCGCCTTTTGTTTACGCGCTTCTTCATGCGGCTGCAATGGTACTCTGATTAGTGGGCGCCCTTAATCGTATGTGTAACTGTAATTTTGGGCGGGCGCCATTGTAACTATACCTCTCTTCTTGCACTTCGTCTCTCCCGCCCTCCCTCTYTTTCTTTTGCTGAAATTTTGTAAGTCGCGGCTTGCATGCTCKGATCGATGCGTGGARAAGGGTTACGTCCCCCACRCAGCGGYCGATCATGCAGAACGCGGGCGTTCCCTCTCTAATCCTGGTAACTCCGTGTTCTTCGYGCATGCATGCACGCTATAAATTTCGGTTGYGCGATTAGTMAGCTCTCTTAACCCGTTGTTGGAAGCTCGGGGTGGCGCGATCAGGAAGGGTCGACACACGAGCRAAGTAAGAGGTGAGTAGAGCAGGAGTTGGGCGACCCAACGGGCTGGTGCCGAACGCGCRGGATTGACGTGGRCCACGACGGACTGTGGGCACGGGCGAATCCGACGGGTGCGGGAGGACTAAGCGGGGTGACAACTTCGTGGGTTSGTGCGCGACGACGGACTGTCCGCATCGAAGAGAGAGAGAGAGGAGAGGARAGTTGAGGTTGAGGGATGCGGATTTGATGTTTCTTTGTTTCTTCCCCCTCTCTATCTGTGTACATACGTTTTGATTGCGGCTCCGGGCGGTTTGCGCGTTCTTATCTTCATTTCGGCTTTCTGGAGTCTGGACTTGGGTTTTTGCTCACACATGTCCTTGCGATTGCATTATGTGTATTGTATGGATGTATGAATGTTATGCTTGCTTGTCTATCTCTTTTGCGGAGAATCCCTGCCCTTGCTTTTTGTTTTTACCGATAGATGGGATAAGAATCTGGCCCCGATATCAATTACGTTCTCGTTTTTGCATTTTTGCATATCCCACGATGAGGTTGTGGTATGGTTGCATCTTGCATAGCCGGAGCTTACGAAGCAATTAGGCAATCTGAAATCCGGCCCCGCGAACGCCGCACGAGAACACGTGTAAACGSGATCCGAGTCGCSCCCCTACACGCATTCCCGTGCGTCGACTCGCTCCCCTAGAAAGGAGTCAYAGCGGAACCATCATCCCGTACGAGCACACTGAGGCGCCACTGAGTCGGCCTGTCCTACACGTGCTCGTGCGCGGTGACGATAACCCGACCYGCGCTATCCCACCGGCGATGATACCATGACGCRATCTTGGGGCTCAGACTCGTYCTATGACCCRAACTATTTCACCCCTATAATAAACGAGCTCATAAGGACGYGATACCCTTGTCACACGGAGAATCGGCTATGTCCGCGGGAATTCCACTGTGCCACCACTAGCGACCCTCGGTGCTCCGATTTCCCTTCCMCCGACCACACCTACTACTTCACCCACCCGGGATTCRTTGAGATCACCACCAGTTTCCCTCCTTTCCGCCTCCTTCTTCCGTATCATCAACTCAGTGTCGTTYYGTGGCCGGCCATAGCCCCCTATTGGCCCAACACGTTTTGCGTAAACTGCCGACRCAGCGGCGCACAAAGAACCCCGGAATTCCGAAGGCCCAACCCAACTACRCGGAGGCCTGCGCCACGTGGCGGCCCTCGACGRCCTAACTTTTCAGGACCATCCCCACCACGGAGGAATTTCCCCGTAACCCGTCGCCCGCAGTGTCCCGGCCCCTTCGGACTGTGAGACCCTTGCGCGCGTAYCCCTCGTTCGCCTAATCGCGTTCATACCCCAAAGACTCCCCCACTTCCCCCAAAAATCCTTGGCACACCCCTTTTCGCACTTCCAGGCCCACACTCCACTCCGATCAGGAAGTCGCGCTGGGCGTGAGGTTGGTATCGGAGCCCGACACGTGGCTAGGGTCTTGGGAGTGATAGCACGTTAATTAGGCGACCTGGCTAACCGTGGGCGACCTCGCCCTCGGAACGTGCATAGACGCGACCCTATCGTCACCAGAAGCAGATCAGCTAACCGACGAGCAGCCAATATAGCTGCCAATGTGCAAAATCCGGTTCTGCAACAAAATGCTAATCTACCTAATCAACCTGCCCCACGTGCACGAGCTCCCATGACGCCACCTGATCTCTATTTGTTCGATCCAGCGCACCATCTCGCAGGAGCATGGCTGGCCACACTTAAAGCTCAACAGTATACCGACAACGAAGCACAGATCAACATTCCCGCTCGAATGGGAGGAGACGCCCATCATTGGTTTAGTACCTATGTATGGGTGGATCTCCCGACCTTCGAACGGGACTTTATGAACCGATTCGACTATGTCCACCCTGAGCAAGCGCTATACATGATCAAGGATCGAGTGCAAAAAACGCTCGAATCCGTTGTGGAATATCGAAATCGGTTTTACAGAATGTTCGTAAAAACTGAGCGAGGTGAGCAAGTCGGGAGAGATTTGTTCATTGACGGACTCCGCAGTCGAACGATAAGGGCAAAGTTGCGAAAGCAATTTTCCCCCATCACTCATACGCTACAACAAGTTATGGCTGCTGCGGAAGAAATGGAACGGAAGTTCGCAGCGAACTTCCTGGAAGGAGAAGATTACCCTAGAGACGGAGATTCGACCGAGCTCGCTCGAGCCAGAGCAGAGCTGGCTGCTTTACAGAACAAATTTGAAAACATGGGGTTCGTATCAGGACTTGTCACCTATATGGAACAGATAGGCCCCAAACGAGTAATCCTAAGTGAGACTCCGAGCATCTCTGCTCCTATGATGCCCCCGCCAGTGAGAGACGGTTAACGGGGGCCCAAATATTCGCCGTTTTCGTTGGCAATTGCGGCATGAATTTCATCAAAATTTTTAAGAACAAACGATATGAGACCATAGTGCAAACATCAAAAAAGGAAATAGGCAAAAAAAAATGAAAAAAAAAACAAAAAAACACTATGAAACCCTACCACAAAGACACTGTCCAAGTCAAAATGAAGCGTCCAACGAATCCAACAAAATGCCAACTTTTTCATTACAGATCAAAACATGTCAAAACTGCACACATGACGTACCCTAAAACACATATATATCACACAAAAAGTAAAACAAGAAAAAAAGCAAAAAATTAGGACAATATGACAGTTTCAGTGCAATTCGGTGCAAAATTCGTCGAAAATAACACCCCTGGTTAACCACGTGTGCCGCCCGTCAGGGCATTACCCCCGCCACTGGTTGAGGCGCCTGTACGATCAAACGAATCGGTGGCCATTTTCGAACTAACTAAAAACTTGATTAGCTTGATCAAGGAAAGCAAAAAGGAGCAGTGAGAGCACAACGCTCGGCTGGAAGCCATGATGAGGAACATGCGACCCATTGTGGTGCGAGCCCCTCCGATGCAGCAAGGATTAGCCCCGGCCCATGCGCTCGGAGGAGTCGCAAATAACCTGAATGCCTATTACGCCTGTCATCAGCCAGGCCATCTAGCCCGTGATTGCCCCCACCGACCCCCGCAACAGCGAATCGGAGTCGCACCTATGGCTGCGGCCCCCATCGCCAACGGACCTGGACGAGTCGGAGCCCTGATGGAAGAAGTAGAAAGTGGGGGAAGTGCCCTGGCCACCACGGACGAGGCCGCCGAACTGATTCCGCTAGATCAGTATGTGTCGCTGGGATATCCTGGGCTTGGAATGATCGGAACAATCAGACCAGCGCCAGAACCAAAAGAGGTGGCGGACTGGCGACCGTCCCTAGGAGAAATGGAGTCGGGAGAACCCACCTTCGTCATAGGGGAGATCGATGTATTAAACATCATCCGAGCTTTGGACCATCGGATTCCCCTTCCGATTGGTCATTTGCTCTCGATCTCCGAGCAAGCCAACGAGCGAACGTTACAGCATTGCAAAGCGAACCGAAAGCGATTCGCCCTTACCCGAACCCCGAACGTGAAAGCCAAAAGCCCCGCGCCCGAAGAAAACCCCGCAAGTACTTCGGATCCGATACAGGTAGGTTTAATCCAGAAAGATGATCATTTCCTGCGGGTTAAACCAATTCCGTGAAAATCCGCCGAGTGTGATATAGAAATTTGGGGAATCCCTTACAATGCTATTATAGATTCGGGAGCGGCTGTGTTGGCTATCTCACTGAGGGTGGTCGAAAGGGCAGGTAGGAAAAACGACCTGATCCCGCCTTCTGAGAAAGATCAGCTCGTTTCGGCTGACGAAGAAAGAATTAAAACCGTGGGAAGAATAACCAATGTCGCTTCCCGATTGGGTTCATTGCATGCGCTTGGGGATGTCGTAGTACTAGATATCAATACGTACGACGTTCTCTTCGGACTTCCCACTCTTGTGGCGCTACGAGCCAGCCTGGACTTCGAACGACGATCGATCGTCCTCCGAAATACAGGAGGAAAACCCTACGCTGTGCCCATGCGATTGACCCTTTGCACTACTATTAACGTGGTTTCCCGGGTTTCGCCAAGGATGGCAGGGACTCTCCGCATGATCTCCTGGGAGAAATCCGCAGAAGGAGAGTCGCCAACAGATGATGCGGAAAGCAGTGACGAGGATGATCCGGAGATCTTGAAATTAGCACGACAATGTGTTTGTTACCCGCCGCCCAAAACGATAGCGAGAACGATGCAACTAACCAGCCGAAAAGTTCAAAGGACCAAGGCGATGATCTTGGGTGAGCCCCTCGTGCAGATTTCGAGGATGGTCGATTCTTTGGAACCCTCTCAAACTCTGTACGAAGGAATCACCCCTCTCCTCGCCCGGTACAGCGACAAGCAGCATTACTGTGATATTACGGATCTACCCAAGTCCGTACTAACCTCGGCCAAAGAAGTGAGATTGTTACGCTTGGGGGGGGAAGCAAGCTCTCTGGAACC